AGATGCAAACGACTTAAACCACAGGAATCATCGTTTAGATGCTTCGGTCTGAAGTGACTCAGTATAAAACCTACACTGTAAAAAAATGAGTGTTTTTTTTTTGTTCAATCACAGATAATAACGACAATCACAAAATAAACTATTTATTTGCGTATTTTATTTGATAAACGGACCAAAACTGTGAACGATTCCTACAAATCTGCTCCATAAAAAAACCTCTTCTGTACTTTCACCACATTTGACTTTAAAATGACACAACTTTTACTGCATTCAATCACAAGAATGACAGTGTTTTCTAGATGTTTGCTAAAAGAAAAATGATCTACATCAGGGTGTTTCCTCCGTCTTTTAGCAATCGGCTAATCAAGCAAATAAATGAGAGCAGCAGCAAAGTGCAACAGCTGACATGTGAGGACGACGTTTAATAAACAACTAATCAATTAATGACAAAATCATCACTGGTTGCTGCACCAATTGTTAATTAAAGGCTTTTAGGTTCTTTATGGTTTATTTTAGATGTTTTCTGCTAAATGTTCTTTATTCTGTAGCTGCTGGACGCATTTTGTTCTCTCGTGTTTGAACGACAACAAACTGAAACTAAAGTCTGTCTCCAGGATGAAGGTTCTGGATCATGGAGATATTATCTTATTTCCTGTTAACAGAACCACTACATGCGTTCATTCAGCCCCTGTTCATGTGCTTGTTCAGGTTTTCTGGACTCGGAGCCGCTGCAGGAGGCCGATGAAGACCTGGTGTCGGAGGTCAACCTCAGCACTCCCATGATGACGGAGGAGGAGCGGGAGGAGATCCAGCAGGAGCTGGCCAAAGTAAAAACACACACATGAACCCGTAGTGTTGTTGTTTCTGACAGAACCGAGCGGGTTCTAACGGCCGGCTCTGTGTTTCCAGCTGGAGGAGGAGATCAACACGCTGAAGCAGGTCCTGACGTCCAAGGAGAGGCAGCACGCCGAGCTCAAGCAGAAGCTGGGCCTCGGACCGCTCAGCGAGTTCAGAACCAACTTCAGCCGAGGCTGGCACGACATGCAGACGTCCACGGCGTGAGTTCTACACGGACCGGATCAGAGACGGGCGGAGCTACCAGGACGTCAGCCGCTGGTTTCTGCTCTGAGAACATGAAGCCAGGGTTCTGCTACTTCCTGGTTGACATCTTTTCAACATGTTGCGGGGCAAGGGGCGTGGCTGGCTTGATTGACAGTCGGCAGCAACCATACAGACGAAGCGAGCAGAAGGCGGTAAATGTGGGCGGGGCAGAGAGGGCCCGCCTCTCAATCCGTCTGACCAATCGCTGCTCCTATGGCTCCGCCCCCCTCCCACGATTGGCTCCAAAAATCCAAGATGTCAACCAGGAAGTCCTGGCTTCATGTTCTCAGAGCAGGAACCAGCGGGTGACGTCCTGGTAGCTCCGTCCGTCTTTTATACAGTCTATGGTTCCTCACCACAGAGCCGAGGCTCAGAGGAACCAGGAGGGAACCCGTCAGACCGGTTAACGGCCAGAACCCCGTGTGAGCGCTACCAGATCTCATAAAGCTGATTAAAACCACATCAGGCCGAAGCGCCGCCGGCTGCCGTCCACCTACAGACATCAGACGGTTTAATCTGAGTCGTTCTCTTCTGTCTCTGTAGAACTTCTTTGAACAGCAGACTGTGGAAAAACTGAACCAAACAAACCAGAACGATTGTTTGGTTTCGTTAAATCATATTAAGATGCAGTTCATCAGAAACGAGCTGCTGTGTGGAGGTCCAGAGGTTCCAGATGTGCTGACAGCAGAACGTTTAGTTTCATTACAGGCAGACGTTCACTTTGCTGAGTTATATATATATTTATATATTTATATTTAGAATACTACAGACAGACGTGTGCAGGTTTATTTGAGCAGATTGACTCAGATTCTAGTTTAGATTTCGGGTTTTTCTGCTCGTTTGCTGCTAAAGATGCAAACAAACAACAACAACATGAAGTTGGCGTCTGTTAATTAAAAGAAAACCTAAAAAATGAAAATACAGATGACCAGGATTAGTTCTTATTCTGGAAAAAATATCTACAAATGACCAGAATTTTAAAATAAAATAGAAAAAATTAAAAATGTGACTTGTTTTTGCAGCTCTGCAGGTTTTAATTTTTTAATTTTAGCAGCTTCTAATGTGGATTTTTTTATTTTTTCCCAAATTCAAACCAGCATTTAAAGGAACAGTTTCATATTTTTGGAGATAAAATCGTCTTTGTGCCACGACGGGGTTAAAAAATGAGTTTAAAAAAAACACTTAAAATCTGTTTTTAATCGGTTTTGTTTCCGTAGTTTAACGTTTCCACAGATTTTATTTTAAATATTCTGAATCTGAAGCTATAAGTCCCACATGGCGGCGCCTCGTTAAGGTCTAAATGTTTTATTCTTCTTTTTGCTGCTCGTTTATTTCAAAGCTGATGATTTAATTAACGTCCACCATCCGGCTTTTCTGGCTCCTGTTTTTAAAATATTTCCTCCCCGTCTGAATTAGAACATCTTTAATTAATCTGTTCAAACAGGAGCCCTGATTAGCTTAACGACCATCTATAGTTGTTTAATTGACAGTAACGAACACTAACGTGTGATTAATTAGAACCCAAACGGTCCTGCAGCACCGCCCTCCTTTACCTAAACTCCTCACAGCGGTTTTAATCTCCTGCTGTGTGTTTTTAACGAGCCTCAGAGGATTTTCTCACCAGAACCGGGCTGTTAGCGCAGATGCTAAGCTAATCAACCCGACTCCCAGCGAGCAACTCGTTCTTATTCAGACAATCAGTCGAGTTTCCCGACGTGCTGCTCGTCTCCGAGCCTCCACAGAGACACGAGAGGAGCAAGTGGATATCCTCCTCCGATGGTTCTGATCCGGTTACGCTTCGTCCTGAGGATCGCTTTACAGGCCGCCTCCGACCTCATCCATAATGAAGCAGCAGCAGCAGGTCGGAGGGAGGCGGCGGTAAACAAACAGGAAGTAGGACAGGCGCCGGTTCATGCAGGATGGACGAAAACAAACCAAGACGAGCAGCACGGCGCCGGTTCTATGAGCTTTAGTTGCTTCTGTAGGAAAAATGGTTCAACCTCAGAACCCCAGAACCCCAGAACAGGTCCGTTGTCTTCAGAACGCAGCTCTGAAGTGACGACGTTCAGCCAGAAACCGTAGAAACAGAAACGTTGGATTGTCGACTTTTAACTTCACCAAAGACGAACCTGAAGCTGCATCAGAATCACTTCACAGAACAAAAGCTTTCCAGCATAAAACAGAGTCGCCCTCTGAAGCCTTCTGTCCACAAATCTAAAACTTTACAGAATCTATCGGAGCCAGAAACTGTAAAAACAGGAAAAAAATGTTGGATTTTTAACCTTCTGATCGTCTCTGACGTCTGGTTCTGTCAGAGCTGAACTTAAAATCACTTCATCTTCACGTCTGGTTTAGAAATTCACAGAAAAAAAATCCGTTCTTTCTTTCTAGAATATGTAAAAAACAACAAAAAAAATAGATAAATATAATTTTTCTTAATTTCCCATAACATCACCGTCTGAACACCAACAAAACCAAAATTTTAAATTAAAAAATCCAAGAATTACAGAATTTAGCAGAACCAGAAACTATAAAAACAGAAAAAACATCTCAGATATCCGACTTTGTGAGAGTCCTTGAACGCACCACGAGTGGACAAATCACCAAAACTAAAGTTAAACTGTGACGTCACATCAACATCAGTTTATTCTACGGGTCTGATTTTATAGTTCTGAACAAAATAAACTCTGATCAGGCCTCATTGACCAGTCACAGCCGTGATTTAGGTGGTTTAACTAAACTAACTGGTTAACTGGTTGGTTGACTCGCCCAGAATGAATTCATCTGGATTTTTATTTTTTCATTTCTTTTGCCTGTTCTGGAACATGAGCAGCACTTTGGTCACTTTTACAGCTGCACAGTCCATCGAACATTAATCCTGATTTCACCTTCCTACAATTAAATTAACACGACTGACGTTTAAAGTACTGATACACTAATAAAAAAATCAGCCAATGTGGAGAAAAAAATCACCTGACTTCAGTAAATCCGCCTTATTTCATTATTTTTAATTAAGTTTTGGTCTCTCTGCTGCCTGAGCTGCTGCAGTAACCAGAGGAGACTGGAGGCGTCCGTGAGGTGTTCAGGGACCGTCGGTAAACTGTCCGTCGAATCCCCTCCTACAGGCTTATTAATATTCTTATTGTTCTACTGAATTTAGAATATTTAATACTGTTTTTTATTGTTAAAATAAATAATAATAATAATTAAAAACAGCACGATTTGCAGGTTATTTTTTCTTATTTTTCGGAGCTGCTGGAGTGAATCAAGTGTTTGTCTTTATTTCATATTTCCTCCTCTAGTTCTGGTGTCGATTATTTTCTACATCAGCAGGATTTTGGCCCAACATGAACATTTATTTACCCGTGATAGTCTGAACCGTATTTTGAAATCTTTTTGCATGATCTCCGTATCGATCAGAACCGTTGTAACGCTCTGCATAAATAAACCGTGTCGTGTTTTAACATGACGTCTGTGTGACTTCTGTGTGTCCGGCAGCTACAAGAAGACGTCGGAGACGCTGTCCACGGCCGGACAGAAGACCTCGGCAGCCTTCAGCAACCTCGGCAGCGCCATCACCAGGAAGTTTGGAGACATGAGGTATGAATGTAGACGTGATGGAGGCAGACGCTGAGCCCAGATCTGCTGCTTCACGACTGAATCACTGCGTCTTTTATCGACCCGTCTTACCCGGTTTAACCTGTTCCGCCCGCCGCTGGTGCAGCACTTCCCCTTACATCGGGTTTATCTGAGCCGTCCATCTCTCAGAGTTCTGACTCTTGCTCCAGCCGGTTCAGAGGAGCCTGAGATTACATAAGTCCACATTAAGCTGCTTTCTGACGGCGCTGACGGGCTCCAGGCGAAGTCTTTCACTCGCCGCCGCCGTCTCTCTTTGAGACGCTGGAAATGAAAAGTGTTCTTTGAGAGACGGTGCATGAGTTCCTGCAGATAGAAATAAATAAAGAGAGGATCTGGTGTGAGCACAGAGGAGGAGATGGTCTGTGTGGGAGGACCAGTCCAGAAAGAAAAGCTTTTAAAGGTCAGAGAGCAAAGCCGGGTTAAGAAAGAGCAGCAAGGCTTCAGGTTGGTTGGTTGGTGAGCTGCAGTAGAACCCCCACATATCTATGTTTACATCGTTATTACAAACATGCACAAACATTTAGATTAATTCTGCGTTTTCCTTTTAATGGGTTTGCCTTTATACTGTATGTATATATTTGTTGCTTTACTGTTTTAAACCATGTTCAGTTTTTGGGTTAAGAATTAAGACTCTTTCATGTCAAAGTGAAAACAGATTCCTACAAACTAATATCAGCTGATTACAAATATAAAATGTAAAATAAGAAACTGCCAGTATTCAGCTGCTTCTCATGATTTCACTCAGCTGCAGCCAGTTAGTGAAACGGATCATCTGAGGTCAGTGACTGTAGGATAAAGACTCCTGGATCTGGAAGGTCCAGTCACTGGTGGGATAGAACGACACCATGAAGACTGAAGAACCCTCCAAGAACTCTGTGGAAAGGTTCTTAAAGAGCATCAGTCAGGAGACGATACAAGAACGTTTCCAACTTCCTGAATATCTCCTGGAGTCCAGATAAATCCATCATTAGGAAATGGAAGGAACATGGAACATGATAGATCTGACAAGAGCAGAACGTCCTCAGAGACTGACTGAGCAAGAAGGAGACTAGTGAAGGAGGCCACCAGAAGACATGTGGAGACTCTGAAGTCACCTGGAAGAAGGTTGTTTGGGCTTTTCGACTAGACGCTATGTTTGTTGGCCACCAAACACTGCACATCATCACCAACACAGCATCCCTCCTATGAAGCACGGTGGTGGCAGCATCATGATGTGGGGATCTTCTCAGCAGCAGGTCCTGGAAGGCTTGTAAAGGTAGAGGTCTAAAGTGTAGAGAAATCCTGGAGGACAACCTGATGCAGTCTGCAGGAGAACTGAGACGTGGAGAAGACTTGGTTTCCATCAATGAGCCGAAGCAAACAGCTGAAGCTACACAGCCGCTGGTGAATCAGTGCTCCTGGATTTTACTTTCACTTTGACATGAAAGAATCTTTTTTTGTAAATTGGTGTTTGAAAGCTCTAATTTAAACCGACTGATTTCTCTGAAGGCTTTTAAATAAGCTGCAGTTTAAGAAGTCCTACACAGATGAAGTAAAGTCTTCTTCTGTAGACGCCTGTAGGTATCAGGGTTTCTACCAACAGCCTGCTTCTTGGTTCATCTGTTAGACGTTCAGTTCATGTTGTTGGATTGTGTCTGTCGGTGAGGAAACATGTCTTATCTCTGCTATGTTCCAGCATGGCAGGTTTAGAGTTACTGTTCCCGCGGAGGTACGTTCCCACCGTCTGTCCCGACACCAGCATGTTTGCACTTATTTGGACTTGCTGTGGACACTTTTCAAACTCGTGTTTTCTCACTTTTACCTCCCAAATGATGCAGGTTTGTGTGGAATCAGTTCTGATGTCGTCAACAGAAACTCATGTGAGGGAGTAACGTCTATCTGTCACTGATTAAACCGAGCGCAGAGCAGAGGAGACTTTTAACCTCCAAAAAACCCAAATTATCTCCGTTCCTCCTGTTGAATTAGTCATTAACCTCCAGAACCCGGTTTGTCCGGTCCGTCTCCCGTGACAACGCGCCTCCGCCAGTGAAATAACGGCGTTTGTTCTCCTCATGCACTCAGGTTTTCACAGATTTCTGAGTCGCACAGCGTCCGACCGTCACCGTTCTCAGGTTCCACGCAATCATCTCCACATAATGAAGAAAATAAACGTCTGCAGGCAGCGATTTACGGTCAAATACGTGTAAAAACAACAACTTCTTAACACAAAAACATTGATTTCCTCGATATGAAGGAACATAAACGAGTTGCAGGTGTTTTCAAATCAAATGATGGAAGTTCTGAAATAAAAATATGTATAAGATGAGAACTTCAAAGTAGGGACGTCACCATGAAGGTCAAACAGCAGCACAGCTTTCCCGTTCCTGTGACGTTCTGAGAAAGTTCTCCTAACGTTCTCAGTTTTCTAGTTCCGACGGCGATGTTCTTAAAGGTACAACAACTAAAAAACTGTTGAACGTTCTTTCTTTTGTTCTTACGTAACACTAGAACGTTGCAGGAATAGTTTTATAGGTTCCGTAATGCGTTCTCTCATCACTGCAGCCAGAACGTTCCATCTTTGTTCACGTAATACGTAACAGGAACGTTTTATAAAAAAATCCTCCGAGGCCTCGATAACATCTGGAGAACATTTATTTAAAGTTGGTTTGAGAGCGTTCCTTCTTTGTTATCATGGAACGTTGTCCGAATGTTTAACAGAAGAGCGTTCTGTAATGGGTTCCCTTAACGTCCTTAAAGCATTGCAAGAGAACTGTTCCACCCTTTGTTCATGTATGACGTTACAGGAACATTTTATAAACATCGTCTGAGGCCTCAATAACATCTAGAGAACTTTTATTGAAAGTTGGGTTAAGAACGTTCTTTCGTCATCCCGTTATCGTCCTCCGAATATCGACAATGAAACGTTCTATTAGCTTTACAGGAGCATGCTTGAAACGTTATTTGAACGTTTGATTAAAACATTTTCTTTAAAAACAACCCGACAATCCATCGTCTTCCGGGATGTTTCGACAGCTTTGAGTCGTTTTTTTAGTTGTTTTGAACAAGTTTCAAGTCAGTTTGGATAAACTTTCAATCATTTGGAACATTTTCTGAATCATTTTGACGTTTTCAAGTCGTTTTGGGAACCTTTGAGTTGTTTTGGAGGTTTTTTTTTTTTGTCATTTTGATCAGATCTTATATTTGTGCAGCTACAAGTGAGACTTTCTGCTTCTTGTGTTTGTTTTCTGTCGTTTTCTTTCTCTTACTTTCCATTTCTGCATTTTGTGTTTGTTGCTGTGAGTTTGTTTGACTTCAGTAGAACATTTTACCTTTAAAGAGATAAAACGACCCGTAAGTCTCCACCACTGGTTCTGGTGTGTCCCGTTAATTAATAAATGTTCTACTAAAGCGACTCTTGTCACGCCGGCTGCTGCCCTAAACTGTGTGTTCTGCCTCCCTTCATGCTTCAGGTCCAACTCCATCGGGTAAGAACCCCACAGCTGATTACACCACATTAGCTGTTCCTCGCTAAGGAGCTTTAGCTCGTAGATCAGCTGATGGATCAGTCAGCTGCTTCTCATCGAGTCACAAACCAGAACAAAGCTCACATGTAGGAGAGTCTCCTGCTAGAAGTTCTGTAAAGTTCTGCCTTTCCTTCATGACCCTGTGAGAAAGCAGATAAACCCTCCCAGCAGCGCTTTGTGTTGCTAACCTGTGCTAATCATTAACTCTCCTCCAACACGCTGTCCGGAGCAGCTACTCTATCAGGCACTCCATGAGCATGCCCACCATGAGGTAACCGCTCGGCTTGGTTTGGTCGTTTTAGACCATTTAGGACGTGTTCCAGGTTGTTTTGGACAGTCTTTAGGACATTTTTGAGTCATTTG